GGTCGGTGACCTAACTTACGCTTCCTCAAAGCGCAAAGCTACGGCAGCCCCGCTGCACATAAGATAGCCCTAGCGGTGAGATAGTGAAAAAAGGTGCTTTTGGGAGGATGAACAATTAAATACGTTTGTTGTAAGAAAAGAATGCGGGATAAATTAGCATCCGTCGCTGCAGTGTGGAAATCTCCTGACACTCATATGGAGCCTTCACAGCGATGAGAATTGACCCCATTTCACCACATTCGAGTGGTGTATTTAATGTGTCCGTCGACTGACCCATTGGACCGTCTGGCTGGACTTTTATGACTCGCCCGAATCCTGCACCAACTATATAATTGAGTGGTCGAAATAGTCGTTCATTTCTTTGTGTCATGCTCTGGTTCTATTTTTTGGTATACTGAAAGATAAAGCCTCATCAGTCATATCTAGCCGCCCAATATGTACTTATTGCGAGGTCAGATAGGCGAAGGGTGCAGCGAACTGGAAAGTGCAACGAGCTACCGTGTACTTTACACAGAGGATGAATTACTTTAAGAGTCCGCGTTAACAAACGCACAGAGGTTGTGTCCGTGCGCTCCACCCAGCAACTTCTACCGTAATAGGCGTCTGCTTCTTCAAGGGTAGGGTCAATGCTATTTAGTCTGATACTTAATATACCGTCAAACATAACTACCACTTTTGCCACGCAGTTCGATCATTTGCTTTTTAAATATTCTCAATCATGCAAAGTTCTTTTTCGTACAACTATAATGTATTTCATTTAATTGCACCAAATTTAGATAGTAATGTGAAAGGGTTAGGGACAAGATTACAGAAACCACCGTGTCTGGCTACTAAGTAGTTTACTTGCATGGCACAAAATTTATATTTTTCCGCAAGATGATATTAATTGGCACAAAATCAACATCTTCTCATAATTGTTATTTTACTTGTCTTACCTGTTTAGAGCTTGTATTATTAATGCACAAAATTGCCAATAGTCTAGAAAATATATTTTGCATGATTTAAAACATATTTGTTTGTCATATGATTTTTTTGAACTTGTCACTTAGTAAAATTTATAGCTACTGGCCACAACACACAAGGGCGTCTCCAGTTATCTCGATGCAAGGGGCTTCGTTTTGCTTGAATGAAAGCATCAGGCTTTTAAATTCTTCAAAACACGAGCTGCTTAATAAAACATCAATCACATCCAGCGGAATCTCCTCTTTCAATATTAGCAACATCATTGTCAGTATCATCCGCAATTTGTAACAAATATTAGCTCATCCACCTTCATGCTCTTGAATCTGGCTGCAAAACTCTTCCATGGAGAAGTGCTAAAAGTAACATTCTCACATAATTAGCGTGTCAGGGTTGGTAGCTATGACAACAAAATGTTGTTTACCTCAAGCGTCTCGCTTAGACGGTCATCAATAAATGTTTCTGCGAACGATAAAATATACACATACGACAGGGTCAGACGCACCATTTTAGCTATCATTTTGACCATTGCGTACCTATGAGGTCAGTATATTGTCGAAATATATCCATGTAAACTAATTTATTTTCTGACACATCGTCAAAAATCTCTATCATTCAGCAAATCTTCTACGTAAACGTTTTATAGTAGAAAGAAAAACAATTTGCCAAATTCGCACCGCAATTGTTGCGGCAAAATTCGACTTGCATGTCGACAAACTTGGGATCTAGAAGAATATCTTGAAGTATACCAATCGTTTTATCGAACTTTGTATCCTATAGACTCAAGCTACTAATAAGCCAGACAATGAATCCAGAATATAAAATTATGCAACAACCTCTGCGTTCTCTTCACCGACGTCGTCATCATACACTTCTTCACCATCGTCCAAACTCTCTACCTCCGCCATCTCAGGTTGATTCATTGATCTCTGATTTGCACCCTTACAAAGCAGATCGCTTCTATTGTCAGTTCACTCTGTGCGAGATGATAATGAGTTTGAACAGGCACTGGACAGTAACGGCTACAAGACCAACGGTCTTCTACCACTTCAAGTAAGACTGAAAAAGTATTTTTTTTGGAGTCAGTTTATTTAAAATGGGGTATTATTTAGGCTCAGTTCATGTTCCATTTTTTATGCGCTATTGGTCGTCTATGTACCCATAAGTTGATAGTCTAACATACAATCCGGCGACATTGTCTCGGACGTCCTTAGGCAAAGCCTAATATGCGGAAGAATGGATGGGATACGCCGTTTCACGTGCTGCAGTTGGCCACGTGGATGGTATTTCCGGCTGTTATGGTGCTCTTCTTCGCCTTTTATATTCCTGTCTTACACAAGACGCTGGCCATTGTGCTAAGCATCTTGTATGCTGTCTCTTGCCTCGTTACGGTTGTATCCGTTGTCTTGTGCACGGGAAGCGACCCAGCTGACGATTACATAATCCGACCGTCGGTGAGATTTTAAGTAGGAGAAATGGGAAAATGGCGACATTCACTTATATACGTGTCATAGACTTTTGATGATGCCAGAGAATCGCGACCAGAGAATCGAGTCTACTGCAATGTTTGTATGAAACATGTGTACGTGCTGCTGTTTGACATGATAATGCGATACGAGCAATCATGTTTTAATGATTTTAAATGAATTTACTATCAGGAACGATCAGAGCCGACACTGCCGCTTGTGTGATAAATGCGTAGATGTATTCGACCACCACTGCAAGTGGCTAAATAACTGCGTGGGCAGGAAGAACTATCGATACTTTCTGAGCTCTGTCGTTGGTGCATCGGTATTTCTTGCCGTACAGATCGCCGTTGGCATTTATCTTGTTGTGGAGTTGTATACAAATGAAGAAGACATAATGCAACGGTCAGCTACGAGTTATGGATGCTCTAACGACAAAGATGATGATACGCATCTTTGTGAAGACGACGAGTTTCATATTTCGCTACAAACGTTACGGATTATTCACATTGTGCTATTGGCGTTTCTGAGCCCTTGGCTCTTCATGATTGGACAGCTTGCACTATTCCACTTTCATCTGTGTATGCTAGAGAGCACATTTCTTTTTCTTTTGCTTCTATTCACGTTCTTATAAGCTACGTATTTTGATCTTGAATTTAGGCTTGGAGAACATCACGACCTACGACTATATCGTTCGACAACGCAAGCGAAGAAATGCTCAAATGCGGGCGAACACTGTACGTATATATCCAATCAGCCATAATTCCGTGTTGGCATCCGAAAGGTCTAGCTTCAAAGACAATGGGGCATAGGCGATCAGAACACTCAACTTCTATTTAAACATGTATATTAATTACTTTCTTGCCTCACGTTATTGACTTTTCTTTGTAGGACCGTGTACCATGGTGGAGAAAATATTGTGGGGGTCAAGCTTTGTCGAACGCGAGACTCCAGAATACAAAGCCGATTGACCAGTCTTCTGGTTCGCGTTTGTCTGCTGAAAGTATGCGCAGCGAAGAAGAGGAACTAGCAGCAATTGAAGCAGAAGTAGATGACAGCTTGGACGTTTTGAGCAATCAAAGTGGCGAGATCCGCGAACGTGGAAGCAGTGAACGCAGTAGCAGCTCGTACCGTAAGCGGACAAGCAATAGCGGTCCAAAACGAGGATTTAGTCTTCATGTCGATCTTTCTGAAAAAAAGTCATTGCAGACCACTGATGGTGCAAGTGGTGTCGTGATCACTCCTAGATCTGAAAGCGGGGACACAAGTTACTTAGCAGCGCCATATTCACCCGGCACACCTGCTTCATTAGTATCACCACGTTCTGCAGCTGGCAGTGCGTACTTTTCCAGCTCACAAACTGACGAATTAGAGAAAAGAGACGCAAATGACAGTACAAATCAGGCTCGACCAACATAGCATCGAGCAATCCATCAAATATCATGTACTTGTCAGTGATTAATCTTTTGACAGACTTCATCTGTAAGTGTTTGATTTAATATCTCATAGCAAGCGACTTGCTGTTTTTTGGCTTCTGTATAGCCTTTGGCAGACAGCACAACGTTTAACTAACGAAACTTTTGACAGATATTTATGGAACACGCACAGAATTAGCTTTAACATGGACTTCTCTGAAATAAAAGGGTTTTGCTACATGTCTGTTAAGCTCAATCACAGACATGATCAATTACAAATTCGGATCTTAAGCTTCACGCACGGCTGCAACTTTGAAACTCTTGGCTCCTTCATCCGATCCAATGTCAACGTGTAGCGTATCAACGATGCCGCCAACACTGGGCGTGTAGTTCAATTTCGTTAGCAATCCACTATCCGTAGCATGTTCCACTTCTAGCGAGTAGAGTGCTGCCGTAGCAGTCCAACCGTCCATGTCGTATTCGTGCTCTTCAATAGTCGTTTCTGCTCCTGGCGCCAACTCGCGTATCTCTTTAAGCTTAGCCTTACCACTTGCCTCAAACTCATCCGAACCAAAAGTTGCCACCACTTTCACATGATGCGACGTTGTGTTCTTCAGCGCAACGGACTTGACATAGTGAGGAACCGGAGCCATCTTCAAGCGATTCTAGATATTTTTGGTTGTGATTTGAAAAAGATGCCGACTATGTTGCACACACCAATTTGACATTCGTTTTCTCAGAGCAAAAAACGTGGTGGTTTTAAGACGACAGCTAGCACTAAAGCCTTCATATTAGTTGATAGTTCAGCTGCTTCTTTTGGTAATATCACATGGCTCGCAGCAAAGCTCAGCAACGGGTGCTTTATACCACTCCGAGTCAGTTTAATAACGCTTTTGAGATGAAACCACAGCTTTATGGAATCAGTTCAATGACGCTGCCTGCTAACTCTGCGCCTATCGTACCTGGAAGTGCTTTGAACGAAATGACCGTGACAGACCCCGGTCTTACTTCTGCGCTGACGGAAAATAAGTATGACCTGATGAGCTCATCACATCAAAGAGGTAGCTCATCAAGCCAAGTGATCGATTTGACGCTGGAAGACGATGAGGAGGAGGAAGATGAGCCGATGGGGAAAAACGAGTCAATAAATGCCACTGCTGGAATAGCTACGACTGCTGCTACGAGCTCAGCAGCTTCAGACACAGTTGATGCTAATATGATAGGTGACGCCTCCAAGAATGTGGCAGTCGCGCACATGTTTTCTCAGGCGCCGGATATGGTCAAAGAGGCTGAATCGGACGTCGATGAGGACTGGCCAGTTGTGTCTTTGTCGCTCTCATCATCGATTCCAATGCCGGTCTCTATGCCAGAGCAGCCGATATCTACTGCATATCAGCCAGTTCCTTTATCAACGATGGTCTCAGTGATGAAAGAGGCAGGTGATAACCGGACTCAGAACGACTCTAATGTGGAAAAGATTGCTAATCGCACGGACATCCCTGATTTTCAAGGTAACCAGAAAAATTATGCTGTAGGCAAAGATACTCAGACGCAAGCGATCAGACAACATACATGTACGAATCCGCTAGGTGGTAAACAAAGCAATTGCGGCTCGGATGCGAATGGTGTTACTTTGCACCAAACTTGCGAATCAGGACAGAACACTGCAGACTTGCCGTCTCCCATGAATCCAGTAGCTCAAACCGAAGCTTTGGAGGACGGAGAAATTTATGAAGAAGGAGGAGCACCAGCGACTGCTATACCAATCGTAGTGCGATCGAAACCAGATGTACGGTGTAGCGACACAGCGAAATTGTTTTCCAAGTATCGTAACAAAAAGCAGAAAAAGCGCGGCAAGAAAAAGGGAAAGCGAAAGCTTGAGGTGATGCAGATGAAGCATCTAATGTCTAGTGAAAGCCCATTTAGTGTTGAACGGTCGACACGTCAGCGAGTGTATTCAGATGTTCCATCAGGAAGGCGATATATGCTTGCGATGACGGTGAACGATCCAAGAGGCAGTTTTGCAAATGTGCATCCTGTATTTCGTAATCCTGCCCCTCTTCCTTTTCAGAATGCCGTTGGCTTATATCCTCCTGTTGAGTCCCCACCGCATCACTTACATCGCCTACCACACCAAATACCGTGTGAAAATAGTCAAATTTTGCGTGTAAACCGTCTAGGAAGTATGGAAATGCTCGGTGGAGAGACCGTACATCCACCGCAGACGACGTTATCGGAACAACTGATGCAAAGATCGTTTATAGACCGGTCGGTGTCTATGTCACCGGTTAGACCCGTTTCAGGTGAACTCACCATCAACTTTCAGAGGCCCAAGGGCGATCAATTACGGGTATCTTCTAACAGTAGTGGTGCTGGGAGTTCAAAATCTGTTTCGCCACGAGAGCACCGTGACGATGACTTTGATCTTGACAGTCTCCGTGCAGCAGCCCTTCGAAGTAAAATGAAACGCACTGCGATGGCAGATCCATTGACATTGGTGACACAATCAGCTCCAGTAGAGCTATCTGTTGCTTCCATGTCATTTTTACCAAATTTGAAAGCAACAAAAGAGAAGCAAACAAATTTGGAACCAGCGAATTTAAGCAGTGAAAATGAGCTTCGCCTTGAAATATTAAGGTCCATGACACGAAAACGCGAGCAAGCTGTTAACAAAACTTACGATGATGCCCAAAAATTGATGCCACCTGCCATGTCTTCAACAAGATGCGAGATGTCCAAGCTGAGACCTGAGTGTGCGAATCCTTCCGCAAACGTAACTAGTGCTGCTAACAAGAAACCGGATGTGGAAGCTCAAATGGATCAAACCCAAAGTGACTCTATGATGCTAAGTGAAGAGACGAACGATGCATTCCCTTCTGACCGAATGGTTATTGAAAAATCTATAAGTTCAGAAAAAAATGTTGTGGATGCCAACGCGAAGCCGCCTCTCGTCAAAGCATTGGGGTCTGTAAAATCCTTAGCTGACAAAGCTCCAAAAACTCTGAAGTTTCGCCCATTGACAGCGTGCAAGCAGTCAGTGGTGATATGTCTTAGTCCGGAAGACTATTCGCCACACAACAGCGGAGATGACACACGCTCCAATCGGTTGAGCTTACAGGACGCAATTGAAGAAATGCGACGAAAGATTGCAGAGCGCGAGCAGGAACAGGCAAACAGGTTGCTGGTTGACGCTACAAAAAAACCTTCAGGTTCTTCCTTGAGTGAAGTAGAAACATTGCTTTCAACATCTCAGCGGTTGTCTCCGGTGACGAAGGTGAGTTCTTTGCTTGCTCCGCTGACCGACAACACGGCATCCTCAGAGGTAGGTTCTTTAGCTATCAAAACTGCAAATGATCAATTAGCGGGAGCACAAGCGGATCCCGAAGTGGAGAAAGTACCAGATGAGAATCATGCACAGACGACCATTAGTGAAGGAACCTTACCCGTGGAAGCAAGAGCAGGCGATTGTCAGGATACTCAAGAACATAACGATACTATTGGGGTCAGTACATTTGTCAATATGCATGCGCTGCCTCCTCTTATGCAGAGTGAGGTCCTCGCGAACATTGACGGGCGTAATGAAATTCATACGACCGAACCTTGCAAAAAATCTACTGGGCTTGTTGCTGCAGCATGAGCAGGTGAGTCCGTTTGAGGGCACCAGACTAATTGTACGTTGTCTGTGGTCGGTTTTCTCGGGTTCTGCCATCTTATAGGTTACTTCCAAGGCAATGTTTACCAACAAGTTGCAAAGAAAGCATGCAGTCCAGGTTTCCGTTCTCGAGAATTTAACCATCAATGCATCAGTTTTCAAGGGTGGCAAGGATGACATTGATTTTGATGCAATACGAGCAGAGTATGAGCGTTGTGTGACCGAATGCAATGAGGCGCAATTGCACATATCACGCTTATCCAACGAAGTGGCTGAACTCGAAAAGCTGCTGCCTCTAGATGAGTTGGTTGAAGGGGGAAGTTGACAGTTGCAACCTTACTTCGAGGGTTGCAATTCGATGTAGCTTTTGCGGTAACTCACTCTAATTTATGTGCGTGTATGAACAAGGAAAGCTGACGATGATATGTGAAATTCTAACGATGAAGTAAATAACGCAATACTTCAAAGGAAGCGGAATGTACATTACTGCTGTGGGCTGTACTTGCCACCTTTTACGCTGGCAAAGCATCGATTTGTTTATACAAATGATGTTTTTATATATGCTAGTTGAGTCTCGGAATATTTAACTTTTCAATATGAACGGATATATTCTGTCAAAAGAGCTATCATAACTTCACTTCTAGTTTTCTTAAAAATATAGAGGATTCGAGTACGGCGGATAACAATCATCAATCCAGATGTTGACCAAATCATCCGCCTGTAGAATAATGTCTAATAGATAAGCCTCATTTTGAAAAATTACTGGCGTTGGATGAAGCGGTGAGCCGCAGCATGTGACCATTAAGTTTTCATCTTCATGGATAAACAATCTTATCATAATGTTGAACTCCGTCTCGAAAGTAGGCGATAACAGTAATGCCATGAGGTTACTTTTCATGGAGTTAAAGAAAAGCAGATGCTGAGGAAACCCCTTGAGAACATAAGGCTGCACGTAGTGGGCGAGTAGATACTCAGCAATCGAAAGCAAGCTTATTGTAAATGAGCCTAATTTTGCTGTGGTATGAAGCTTAGTAAATTTACTTGTACCCACATTCAGCTGGCTAGTGGCTTCGGTCCCTTTTTCTTGATTTAAATCATTAGCGGGCCCAAAAGAGAAGCTCAGCGCACAAAACTTATTTAGATTCTTTTGAGTGGCTCCTTTAACTACAGACTGCTGAGAGGATCCACAAGAAGGCACATTAATCTCAATTGAAGACGACCTGAGCTTTCGACGCTCTTTTTCGTGGGCTAGCAGTGCATTCAGATCGAGATACACTTGAGAAGAAATATCTGCCAGCATTAAACGACCCGCATATTCTAGTGCTTTAAAAGATTGATGCTTAGCACCTAAAGTTATCGTGCTGGCAGAAGATGATGACGGAAGCATGACGTCAACCTGCATACCGACGCAATTGATGCCCAAAGTCACGATCTCGGCGCGATAGAAGCCAAGAAAACATGGGGATACACCAAATCCCAAATTAAGAGATCCACAAAAGTTGGCATCTTTAAACGATCCGTTTAGTACACAATCCTCATCCGTAGCTTTCAAATTTCCAGCAAGCTCTACACTCACGTTATCTATGTTATCTCGAATGTAGTCAACCATGTTTTTTAAGGTTTGCCGAAAGCTGCTTAATAACTGGACCTTCATTTGAAACGAGTCTTCTGCTGGACGGTATTGTCGTAAATTCAGAATTGGTGGCATGCTCACAGAATGCATTTCACCGTTCAAAGTTGCTGCTGCTGATGTAGCGGACGTCGAGTTCATTGTAGGGTAAACTGCAGCCTTTCGTCCGAGACGAATACCATATATGAAGCCGTCTGCAGCCACTCGCGGCTTGCTATAGTCAATACCAAGTATAATGCGCTCGTAGAGCTTGGTAAGGGCTTCGACGGCATTAAGCACATTTATCGTCAAATGAAAATGCTTCACTGAGAGGTGTATGCTAACTGGTTTCTTTGATAAGCGTTTGATTACGTCAAAAAAATTGTCAACATCAAAGAGCTCAACCTGATTCTCTGTCCTTCTATTATCTAATGGCCACCGCGATCGTCGCGACACGTTCTTCGGTGACAACATCCTCGCCTTATTTTTCTGTATAAATATCAATTCGATGAGACTCTTCCACGCCGTTCGTAGCTTTTCCTCTTGAGTACAAACTTCATCATTGTGAATCGTTTCTTTGTCATCTGAAAATGCTTTGTAGTACGAACATATCGAAGCAAGAGAGTGAAATGGGTACGCCGCGGGAAATAGGCCACTATCCTTCATAGCGATCAACAAGTTGAATTGAGGTCGTGATAATCGCAAAATTTCGGCAATCGTTTGCATTTCGTTGTTCAAACCTCTTAACAAATTTTGTGGAGACGTTGATGAAGCTTCAGGAATATGCGACTTTCTGGCGTCATTTGATTGTTGTTCTTTTTGTCTTGCTTGTTTATCGTCTCTTACGTCCACATCACACTCGTAAAGCTCTTTTTCCATAACATGGTCAATAGACAGCCCAATTATCTTAATTTCACCTTGAATATTAAGCTTGGCTGGAGGCAACTTAAATGCAAGAGCCAGCTCATATGGGAAGTACAGCAGCGTCAAGTCACGAACAAGAGATGTTAATACGTCAGAGCAAAGCTTGCGGACCATTGGCTCCGGCAGATCCATGCCCCCTTTAACGCGTCTCTTAAAATTTAAAAGTTCAACATAAGTAGCCTCAGTCGATAGTAGAAATTCCCATTTGCCTTGCCCCAATTCACTTGCATCGTCAAGATCCTCCACGTAAATAAGATTCATCGAAACGGTAAAGTCTGTGTTCATGTACATACTGTCCCACAACGACTTTGGGATACGCGTGCCCTTCTCTCCAACAACCTTCACATGTTTACCACAACAGACTGTACGGCCATTCATTGAAACCTTACAAGTAGGAGTGATCCCTTGCGCACCATTTGCTTGATGGCTGATTTGCAGTGAATAGGTGCTCTCGAAGCTTTCAACAAAAAAATCACGAAGCCCGTAGTATATACCATCAATACTGAAGCGCAATGAATAGCCAGATTCACGTGGATGCCAGTAGCAACGTCGAAGCGCGTCAAGTTTCGATTGTGCACAAAGCATGCGCGCTGCCAAATTGACTGCATTAGTAGGACTATCAATTGAGGTAAAGGCTGGCAAAGACTCGTTTGTCGGTGATGGAACATAATCATCTTTATGACGTTTTCCTCGTTGTCGCTTTTGTTCTTCCGTCGCAATTGCTTGCATAGAAGCAATTGTTTTTTCCAATAAAGATATTTGTCGCCTTAACTTGTCTTTCTTAACAGCCCAAATCTGCTTCTGTTTTGCTTGTTGTACATTCGCTCGCTTGTACACTTCTTCCAAATCCTGTACGGCTACTTTCCACGCAGCATCAAAAGCAACCTCGTCCATATCGAGCGAGAATTTCTCCAGTTTAATAGGCGGCTTCAGTATATTTGATGTTTGCGACTCTGCCTGTTTAATGTTCGATAACTCTTTCACTGCAGAATGTTCGATCGTTTCCACATTTACATCGTATTTCTTGCCAGATTTTTCAGCGTCAACATCCCAATGATTGACTTGGCTGCTGCCATTAAACTTGTCTTTGTTGTCATTACAAGCAGCTTCTAGCAATGAAATAGGTGGGTTAGCACGACGTCGTGTTCGGACCCACCGTCGTCTACGCACGTAGTCGGTTGCGTTCGGCTCACTGCGCTCTTCACCTTTCTTAATGTGGTAATTCACCATAGTAAAGTCCAATGCATATACCCACCCATCGATATCGCAGTTGTGGGAGATTTTATCAATAACCCAATCACCAGTCCAGCTCCAATTCACAGGAAGTTGAGGCTCTACCTTTTCACGAGTCTGGCTGGAAGGCGAACCGTGCAATCCGCTCCATCGATGACGATCCGTTGGAAGAAGGTGACCTGCCGGTCCCAAATTAAGTGACCGAGCTCGATATCAACGTAAAATGTAGCACGCACCTGGTAAAGAAGAGCCCCACGAGAAACTTAGATAAGAGTAGCGCTGATGCTCGTAGATATCGTCAATAGCTTCTTCTCCACTAAAGTCGCGAACACCAAACTCACGGTGAACCTGCTGAATAAATTCTTCTTCTTTACCCTAAGAAAAACATTCCAGCAGAACTTGAAATGTTTGAAATTATCATAAGAAGTGAACAAGACGAACCCTGTGCTTAGTTAAAATGCTCTCGACGTAATCAACTTTTCGAGGATCATGTGCCCAGTAAAATGCACGCAGTCGCGAATACCAATTTGTCATTTTTATTTTCACATCACCTTCAATTGATACATCACATTCAGTCAGTAAAACTCTCAATTATAACCATGAAGAACAAGACGTACATTCACCAAGCGCTACATTTTCTTTTGAAATATCTTGTATCAACGTTTCTTGTCCTTCAGCCATAATAAGTCGAAAGTGAACTCCATATCTAGTGTAACGGATGAGCTTATCTTAACATTTATTTTACAAATTACAAATATATTACGAATTTATTGAGATTGGTCACAACTTACTCATGGCGGATCTCCTTGCTGCAGTCACCTTGACGTCGCATGCGTCTGAGACTGAAGATAATGGTGCCATTATTGGGTTAAATACTATGCAACTAGAAGATTTAAAGAAAAATGCAATTGCATATGCAGCTGCCCACGGTCTACTTGTAGGTTGGCGCGACCCGAGCAAGTCCAAAGAAGCGACGCCAGCTTTCACACATATCCCACTATGTCTACTACCAATGCAATTTCCTAGAACTCATTTCGAGCATGGTGTGAAACTATCAGCGTTATATGGTCGACTGGTTGACCGCATAAGTCGTGATGTGGATTGGCTACACAGCTGCGTACAAGGTGTCGTCACCGAAGACGCATTCACGGCGCGACTGTTAGAGCTCTCGCGGCTTGTGCACCAAGAAGGCGTGCAACAAAAAGCTTATCTAGGTCTACATCGCTCTGATTATATGCTGCATGAGCCACAGATAGACAGTGCTGGAGATTCACAGCGTTTACTACAAGTGGAACTCAATACCATTTCGTCATCTTTTGCCTGTATCAGCTCGCTCGTCTCGGACATGCACAGGTTCCTCTATACCGATTACAATTATGCCATTCTCCCACTTTTTGATTGACTTGCGTTGGCTGTCAACAGGTTCTTAATCAGCAGATTTGGAGCAGAGATTCCGGGTTTGGAAAAGTATTATGGCATTACATCGTCCGATTTTCAACGCGCACTGCCCCAGAATGATGCAATAAACGAACTGCCGAATGCTTTAGCGGCTGCACACAAGCATTACGGAGTTGACGAGTGTGTTTTTAACGCTAGAAGATTGTAGACCATGATACATTGTTCTTACGTTGTATGTTGATACATTTTTTAGCGCTGTCGTCACGTTTGTAGTCCAACCGAATGAAGCTAATGCCATCGACCAGCGCTGGATTGAATACAATTTGTGGGAGCACCACAAAGTTCGGGTTCTGCGTCGTACGCTAGCTGAAGTGAACGCGCATGGAAAGCTCGTGGACCGAAATGGAAATCGTACCCTTGAGCTTGATGGGCGAGAAGTGTCGGTTGTATACTTTCGCTCTGCGTATACGCCGAGTGACTACCCGACTGAGCACGAGTGGGCTGCTCGTACTCTAATCGAGCGCTCGTACGCCATCAAGTGTCCGTCGATTGCTTACCACTTGGCCGGTACCAAGAAGGTGCAACAAGTTCTTTCACAGCCTACGGTTTTACGTCGATTTATGTCCGAAGAAGAGGCTCAGGAACTAGAGATGTCGTTCACTGAACTCTACGGACTTGAAAAAGAATCTGCGACTGTTGAAGATATCAAAAGGATGGCTATCACAAACCCCCACTCTTATGTTTTAAAGCCCCAACGTGAAGGTGGAGGAAACAATTTGTACGGCGATGAAGTTGCTGCGGCTTTAAAAACAATGAGTTCTACTGAACTCGAATCATACATATTAATGAAGCGGATTTTTCCGAAAGAGGTTGCTGCTGTACTCGTGCGCAACAACGTCACATCTAGCGGTCCTACAATTAGTGAGCTTGGTATGTTTATCACAAGCCTGTTTGACAGCGAAGGAAAGGAGATTTTAAACAAGCACGCTGGTCATCTGCTTCGCACGAAACTATCAAGTACTAATGAAGGTGGTGTAGCTACGGGTTTCTCTGTCGTGAGCAGTCCGCTGCTAATTTAATTTATCGATACGTTGGTGTATCGATTAAACAACCTCTCTAGACCTGGGTGCATGCAAAATTGAACGCATACTAGTTCAGCTGAAATTGACATTAAGTGATTCGCACCCGACAAATAAGTCGAAGAAAGGAAATATCAATAGGGCAGTATGCAAAAGAAACTTAAAAATATTTTCTCGATCTGAAGGTTCTTTCAAATTGATATAAAGCATCACTTGTCACCTTGGAACGTCGCAGATAGCTCACAATATATTACAAGGCCAGTGCCGAAATCAGTAGGAACCAAGTCTTAGACGAATTCGATGAATTTTACGTTTGTCACCGGCGCTTTGTTAATGATGGGGTCCTAGACACATATTAGGACTCAGCACAAGGACGAAGCTGCTTATATGACACCTTCTTAACAAGTCGGTTAGTGCGCAACAGCAGATCGTATCGATTCGATGCATGCACTCGTATGATCTTGGCCTTGTATGTCAATTGTATTTCTTCTTGATTGTTCGTTTGCCGTCGTGTTCGTGCTGTATCCTCATTTGCGTCAGGAATCCAAAATACCCGATCTCCTTTAGAAAATCGATTGATCGGCACAACCTCCTCCTCAAGTAACTCCATCTTGGACGCAGGAACGGCGTCAAATAAAGTTCCGTTGTCTGCTCGAATGCTATAGAAATTTGATTTCAGAATGCGACGTCGAACTGTTCCTCGAATCCACAGTCGTTTGACTTGAAAAAGGATTCGATCGTGTCGAAAAAAAATGCACGTCAAATCGTCATCCGATATTTCTAATGAACTCTTCATCTCTCCCTCCGAATTCGATGACTCAGAAGAAGAAACTTCGAAAAAGCGGTTGGCCAAATTGACTCGGCGCAATCCGTCAGCATGTGTGCGAATCTTCATCAAGTCTTTTAAGTCATATAATGAGCCCAGCCACTGGTCCTGGGCTGAGCCAAGCAGTTTATTTTGTAGATTATCAGGACTAACCAGTGGCAAAAACGAAGTATGTACGTTCGACACCTCTACATTCACCTCTTGCTCGTCACTAGAATCAGCATTGTTGACATTGATGGCAGGATTTTTCGGCAAGCCGCGTTTATAATTGACAGCAGTCTTGCGAAATTTCATATTCGACACAGAAATTAGCTTTAAAATTAACAACGCTGATTTCTGCTGGAGCAGCGCTTGTAAGCCCTTCAACAAACTTATCCTTATCCAGTGTTATATTAAGTAAGCAGTTGGACTGAAGATGGTAAGGTGATGTCTGTTCTTGGTTTTTGTTTAAACTTGAAAAAAGGTAGCGACGATTCAAATAGCTACTTATTAAAAGAGTTGAATCTTTTGATGATTGTGGTGTTTGAGGACTAGCCCATATTTTTTCTAAACCTCACACATTCATAGACTAATTAAATATAGGACATGAAGGAAGATCGAAGATTTTTGAATGCTTTCGTCAAACATGTTTTGACAATTTTAAATTTTTACCATCTTCGTTAACGACAGTTAGCTGTTTCTATGTCTAACGCTAACGCACCTCGCACAAAGGAAGCTTTGACTACTCGAGTCTGCTACAACTAACGCAACGAGAATGAGCCTGTACGCTCCACCCAGGCAGGACCTTGAAACCTCGTAGACATCACTTGCTAGTGGCAGGTGCGATGTGCTGGACAATTTTCCTTTTACTCCTGACGAATAAAGCTCCGGGAATGCGCCATGACATAAGCATCAACAGCGCCAAAAAATCTTGCCGAAATCGGAACACAACTTCCACTTCAGCGGATAATTCCGCCTTTCCACTCTCTGTTTTACATGGAAGTGAGGCACCGATTTTTCATTGATCAGTGCAAGCGGAGGACGACTTTTCCACAGCTAGATCTCATATTTTTTTTCGGTTATGGCAATGCGCCAACTCATTTCGTGAATCTTGACGTGTAAGTGATTATGAGATGTGCAACGTTCTGAGTGCACTTTCTGAGGTAGACAATCATACGGAGTGGTATAAGGCAGCCCTCACGGCTCAGAACGTATTGCTACCTTGGAGACGAAGGCAACTACCGTGGGGATTGAGTTGTGCTCTCATTTCAGCAGAGCGTTTGGATCGTGAGAGTGCGATCGTGGTATAAATTCAACAAGCCCACGTGGAGCACAGGATGCGTTTATATTCTCTTCAGGATAACTTGCTACAACCGTGAGCGTTTCGATATAGACTGCAGACCCAGTATATGTAGAGAGTTTAGCCGCATTCATTATATCTTATCAAAACATAATTTTATATGTGCTCTGTGTGATTCTGGCATTTGGACATCCTGGATCGCAGCCGTAGCGCCTTTAATCGATTTATGACGCTCAATCATATCGAGGTTAAATGCATGATCTTGCTTTGAGCTATCACCGGGATTATATCAGATTCTGGAATGGATTCGACAGCACTGACTTCACGACGATGTCGAAGGAGCACACGGGTTAGAATATAAATTTGGGTGGACCCTTATATGCATTAACGATGCAATTCAGTGACAGCTTTCTCTTCGACACTGCGGTCAGTCTGCAAACCTTATTCGAAAGATATTTCCAGCCAAGCGACAAACGCGTTCGTCAGGAAATCTATAATAGAGGAACAACGGTGAAGATGCCCAGTCTGGTTGTGATTAGCGCCCGAGCAACTTTAGCCGAAATCGCGGTACGAGTCGCGGAAATTGATTTGAAAGAATGGCCTTCGGCCAGCCATGTTGGCCGTAACCTTGTCGAGGAACAGCTTGGCCGCATTCACATCATCACTGGCAGTATTTTGATGAGCAATTTTGCTCAGACGGTTCGAAAAGTCTACAATGCCAGTGTATCCGGACGCGTGTTTGTGAGAACTCAAACAAAAAATATACATTTGCCAAAAGGCTAGCCAGAGAATCCAACGTATGCGGGAAGGGTTCTCGCTGACATAAATGGCACATTCGCACTTGATCATTTTTTACTCATGTTTGGCCGCTAACAATAAAGGATCTCCGAGCAATATGTCTTCTTACTTCTGATGTTACCACCTAAGGGGAAATTATGTGCCGATTGCAGTATTCTGTACCTAGAGCCCTCATCAAGAGGTTCGACCACAGACTGGGTATCGTTTGGGTGAGTGCTGCAAAGCAGATTGCTCGAGACAAGGAATAACGGTGAAAAAACGCAATCTAACCTTTCCACAATGCGACATCTCAGCTAAAAATTGTTGGAACACAATGCTGCTAACTCGAAGCATCTGTACGTATAGCCTTCGGTCATTTGCAACATGTAGCGATGCGCCACATCACTATCGTGATAAAAGACAGTTTATAATTGAGGCGCTGCCAAAGTGGAATTGCCGGCATATTTATCCGTCCGAAAGACATGTTTTCTCGAAGATTAACTCAGCATCAATAAAACTATCTTGTTATTAGCTACGAATGATGTTGGTGACGACGTTGCTGTACTCAACGACGCGTGAACGGTACAGCTCGTTACTGACTTAGCGACAAGAAGGTGTATTTTAAACTCGACGAGTGCACACTTTTTCGCAATCTATACTTGTCGTCAACCAAATTGACTCTCTCTGCCGTTTAGAGCCGGCAACATTAGAAAGCAATGGTGCTCTCATCCCAATCACAACTTATGGCAATGGCAAAAGTGCAACATACTTCGTGAGGTAGCTGGTCTGTATTTTAAAGCTGGAAACGGATCACATGTAAGGCTTTTATACACAGCCATGAAAGTCGCCCCCTCTTCCTCACTCCCACACCAATTGACACGCTTTCAAGGGAATATTGAGGGGATCATGTAATATCGAAAAGTTTGCACTGAGTGGTTAACCAAGTTGCGATCGTAGTTCTAGTGGCAGTGGCACTGGGCAATCCTCTGTTGATCTTCGCCGGGATCGGCTCGATGACTTTGCCTCCAATTTATGAATTTAGAAATTGTCAGCGCCAGCGACACTTGTGTATTGCAAATAGGTTGTTAAGTTAGCACAATTTGCAAGTCTTTCATGTAATGTGTACATTGAATCCCGTACTTGAAACTACTATTGACATCTGCATCAATTCCCCGTGCTCGGCGTTATTGCTGAAAAATATTTGTCAAAATTAGCATGTGCGTATGCATGATGCTGCCATAACATTTTTGTCTGGAAACAAGTGAGCGTCGCCGGTAAGTTAGACATATTAATCATTCCTGAAATATCTCAATTAACGCTCTCAATGCAGTGAGAGAGATATGTCACTGTCTCTCATGGACAGTGCATCTTATTTATCTACTAGACCAATTACGCTAAACATGGTGCAATTGGTCATGATCTTCTGTAGCGTATCTATTTGTTGTCGGCGTTTACGCCGAAATGGTGGCTGCAACTAGCTTAATAAACACTATCATGATACACTTTTTGCCGTTAGCCTTTCTGATGGAAAAATACAGTGTGTGGGAAAATAAACACTCTCTTCCTAAATCCGTTTCGTACTTCACCCGAGAAACGTCTATGATGTCGCGCTATCCCTTTCCTAAGGACAATTTACGTTTGCATTTGAAACATCATGGGACACTGCCCAATCCGGGGGAAAGACGTGCAATGAGTTTTTAGATTGCCATTCAGCTCCTCACATACAGTGCACATGGAATATCTCAACTCTCGGCCAAATCCACGGCGTATGATGAGCTCAGCTTCTCTTCAAGTACTAAGTGTAACAGCTCAATAATTCCGTCGCTTTTTTATTTCTTGCTCAATGCTTCAAAAACTATTTACAAAAAAGATTTCTTACTGAGATAGCAAGAGAGACTCCCTTATTCTAATGGCTCCAACACAAAATACTCTACTATGCGCGTTGCTTTTCTGATCCGCATGTCTGTCATATCGCACAGTAGAGATGACTTCACATATTTAAAGTAGAAGCTTTTGAAACTATCCAGCACTAAACATTACATCGTGATACGATTAAGCAATTCTTAACAACGCCAATGTCTGACCTTTTTAATGACAATAACAGTCGTTTGTCTACACAGAAGTTTGCTCAAGGGACGGCGCCACCAAGCAGCTTTAACACATTTGTAGGGAATTTACCCCTGAAGACCACAACCAATTCGTTTCTTATATCTGCTCCAAACTCTATGCTCTCGGGGACCGTGGCTCGCTACCGCATTTTCCTTCCAAGCTTTGTTCAAACCACACAGCATTATCGTTGCTGATTTTTTTTGGAAATGTTCATGTCCTGCACCAAATCTTCTGCAGCTTCATACCACGCCAAATCGCTTCTTCTATTAGCTAAAAAATCACGTGAGTTTTACAATAAAGAGGTTCGAGATTTCCCACGTTTTCGACCGCTAGGAGATTCTTGCTATCGGCGGTCCAGTCGCGCCATATCTCGGGTGACATCTTAGTTGAGGACTGGAAAACGACCCACTAAGTCAAACCGGGAAGTCTCAATAAGACTTTCAACATGCCTTTGTTGCATCACGCCCAGCTAAACTATCCTTAGCCGGCCTCGATCATATCATCGCGTACTCTCGACAAATTCGCGCGCTTTGAGATCTTTACGAACTTCCCACAGCATCAAAAATGTCTAAATGTTGATGGTATTTACCGACAACCCTAAGTTGTGAGTTCCCCCTTTCTTAGACATAGTCACTTTCTTTACAGATGGTCCTATTCACTACGATCTCCGTGATCTCAAGTCAAACCAGTTTTTTTCAGTAACCTGTTCTACGCTTTCCGTGACTATTTTTTCGAGACAGGAACCTTCGATTCATCCTGTATAAAATCTCGACCCTTCGCACCTACCTTCAGAGACTGAAGGGACCGGCAGGATTATTTTATAGTTCAATAGAGTGCAGTATCTACGAATACTATTGTGATGTTCTGTGAGGTAAGAGCCCCCCCTTCTTCTTGTCTTGACCAAAATCAGTAGCTTCGTAGCTTTCGGGGCACGCATGAACCTTCATCTTCCGCTTTTTACCGGGCCATCGAGACACGAGTTTGAGCATTATATTCAACCCAACCACCACAGTTTCCTTGAGCAGCTGCAGAAGGATCGGTGCAAGCCGCATCTGTATAGTTTCTATCTTTGAGGTTGATAAACACTTTTGTCTTCGAAGAAAGTTTTTGACCATCCAGTCTACTACTA